ATATATAAAGAATGTTTATTTGTTTAACAATACACATACAATTTTGCTATACTGTACAAACTACTTTGGGTCTTATTATCATTCCAGCATACCTTTATTTACTGACTGTGAATCTGAGACAAAAAGAGAATGAATGTGGTGGGGTGGGACGGGGGTGCGAGAGCCAAGAGGCAGGTTAGCTTAAATGAACCAACAACGTACTGCAAATGCTAAATATATATAAATAACTTAGTATGCAACTTGAACTGCTGAAATCAAAGCTGATTCTACACATATTTTACACATAATCAAAACACTTGAAACATTACTTTGAAAAATCAACATCAATGCATAACATTAAAGGGGTAAGGAGTCACCAGTACCCTGCAGCTGAAGGTGAGGGCTGTTTCTCAATGTCTTCGGGAGAGCCACAAAGCTGAACTCCAACAGGGGAGACAAAGAATTGAGGTGGGGGAGGGGAGATGAAAAACAAGACTGAGATGGCATTTAAAGAAACTTCAGAGAATTTTAGGTCTACTTCTTGCAGGAAAGACACTACCTAAGGCAGACAGGGAAATAGAGGTAATGTGGTAAAATATGGGGTATGTGGGGTAGAAGATAAACTTACAAAGTCATCATCACAGACTCTAAAGAGAGCCTCTTCAATTGTTTTAGATTCTTTACTTCCCATAGGCACTTTTAAAAAAAGTAAATGGTGATATTTTAGGTATGTCCACATATCAAATTTTTTTACACAAACATGGAAAGATTGAAAAGTTCCCATTTATACTAATAAAGGTTCACGTGCCTGTCCCCCTTACAAAGGGAAGTTCGTTGAATATTGCTACTTTCAAATACCAGTTACTTGTGCTTTTTGTTAGGTGTCTATTGCTGGCTTCTGCCACCACTTTTATCAGACTACTCAACTTTGAAAAATGGTGTCCATCAAAATTAATAAATTCACATTACCTTATTTTATTAATCAAAGACAAACACAACTGCTAGCCAGAAATTCTGATACACATAAGAACCAATGTTGGCTCAATAAATTCACATATTCTCAACCAAAAGCTAAGATATTTGAGACTCTTAGCTTATGTAGGTTTATCAAGGGGAAATGACAATTCCCTTTTGTTTTGAAATGACAAAATTATAGAAGAACAGGTTAGCAGTTGTCAGGGGGAAGGGAGAGTGGACGTGGCTATAAAAGGGCAACCTGAGGGATCCCTGTGGGGATGATGGACGTGTTCTGTGTCTTGACTGTGTCAATGACAACACCTGGTTGATACTGTGCTATAGTTTTGCAAGATGCTACCACTGGGGGAAACTGGGTAAATGGTACACAAGATCTCTCTGTATTATTTCTTAAAATTGCCTGTTAATCTACAATTATCTCAAAATAAAAGGTTTAACTTAAAGAAGCCAGGACACAATGTAATTTACTAGCTTATTATTGGTGTTTCAATTGCTAATATTAAGTATTCTTAATGCAAACACTCTGATTCAAAAATCAAGTGTTTAATAAAATAAATGCTCAACAACTAGCTACACTCAAGGAAGTGGTGACCTGAATCCACTAAAATGGTATCATCTGAAAGTCATTTATTTTTATTTTTTGTATTATTACTTGCAGTCTATTTATTTCTTTGCTCTATTTGGTTTACATTGAGGTGGAAACTACAATAATTCTCATTATTCCCCAAGTGCACATGAATTTTGCAAGCTTCCAAGCATTGGCACAGGGTAGCAGGGCTTCACTTCAACAGTTCAATCAGCCCAGGCAGCTGCATCAGAATCACATGGGAAAGAGGCGTGGACAATAACACAGATGCCAGCCCTACCCACAACTACTGAATCAACCTTGGATGGCGAGACCCCAAAATTCTGATGTGCAACCAAGTTTGGGAAATACTGGTAAAAAATGACCAACAGTTGGCCATATTGATGGATGAGACTTGGTATGATAACAAATTTGACTCACTATCAAGTTCCTGTAAATCAACCTAATTTACTATTCACATGTACTATAATTTCACCAGAAATATTTTTCTTAGCAGTTCATTATTTCACTGCCCTATACAACTCTTAATAAACTAAAATAAACACTGTGCCTCAATGAAAATGTCAAGATATTTAGAACCAGTAAGGATCAACATGAGAAACTTGTAGGAAGATGAAGGCTAAGTAGGGCATGGAATTAAGAAAGCTTTAAACAACTTGGGCTAAGACAATTCTAGTCATTATACTTGCAAGTATCTCTGCTACTTTAGAATTGGCCTCTTTTCACATTAAGAGTCTTTAATGATTAGATTTGCCAATTTCCGGTTCACCCCACAGTCAAATTTTAACTTGTTATGAAGACCCAAAAAACCACATTTACACATCTAAATAGCAAGTTTTAAATGTTTTGTACCAGGCCAATTATCTGTACTAACAGAGTTTAAAAAGAAACCTACAAGAACGCATATAAAATAGAATTCCCTCTAAGAATAAGTTGATTATTTCTTTTTGTTTTCAAAACAAGAACTGAAAAATCACTTAGCTTTCTTGAGTAGATTTTTTAAGTGCATGTTTGCATTTCCTTATAAAATGGTCAGATTAAGTGGCCAAGCAGTGGCACATAATCAGCAGCAGCCTGGTGCCCACCCGACCACTACCAGTCCAAAGTTTGCAAAGAAAAACTCATCTCAAGTTTTCAATTGAAAAAGAAATATTTATGACTAATTTTTTAATAATTTCCCTACAAATATACCTGCAGTACTTTTTAATTAAAAAATTAAAAATTGATTTAATTAAAAAATTAAAATATATCACTGTATTTTAACTTTTACTTCAACAGATTATACTTTTAAATAAACTAATTTTTCTCTGCATCAGAATGATCATTTATCCCACATAATATTCTTCTATAGTTAGGCTATTTTCAAATTTTAAATTATGATTAATTATGGACTTACAAAAGTGTATTCTTTCTGAACATTTTGCTATTATGGACTCAACTTTGACCCTTGGACATAAACTATTTACAAAACTATTTAAGTAAACTATTTAAGACCACCTTTGTTTTTAGAACCATTTTCTTTCATGGACTTTATAAAGAAACAAAAATCAAAAAGTAATATATATAATAAATATATATCCTTTTCATGTCTTTTTAAAATTTATAATTTAAATGTTTACATTATTGTTTCCTTTGAGCACCTTTAAGGAGATTCTGCTTTTCCATGTGCTGTGGATGACTTTTAACTATCGCCATACGTAAGTATAGTATAATATGAGCCAGGTGTGCTGGAGAGGGACGACCCTAGCAAGGTCCCTTTGATCCAAGTTCTCTCCATGTCCCATCGTCTCTGTAGTCACGGCACACATTTGCTTACCAAACATTTGCTTTTCCATCTCCACGTGAACTGCTTCCCTCCCCTGTGAAGTCCCAAACCACCACCCCCACATCATCCTTTGTCTTTAGCTGAAGACGGTATTTAAGGTGGCAGCTCTGGCCGTTTTGGCGAGTTACTCAGTTTTCCTGGGTTTCTCCCATGTATACGTGTTATTAAATTTATTTGGTTTTCTCCTGTTATTCTGTCTCATGTCCATTTAACTCTTAGACCAGCCAGAAGCTAGAAGGTAGAGGCGTAGAGGGATAGTTCTTCCTCCCCTACACTTTCGTCCAGCCTCCCTTTCCCTTACCCAGTGTGCCTGCCCCAGATCACAGGTGATCTGAGCTTGGCCCTGTGATGCAGTGACTAGAATCATGGATAGAAAATAACAAAACTTCGCAATCCACCATAAAATAATTAAGCTTCCTGCATCCTTCTCTAGAAAAAAAATACACTGTCATTTACATCTTAAGATGGCTACTTTTGTCCCAACTATAGTTTCAAAATATAATACTAATCTTTAATATTTAGAAAGTTAACAATAATGTCATGACAAGCAGGTGTTGAATAATGTATAAGAACAAGTAAATGTTACAGTTGTAAACAATTATTCACTGTACAAAACTCAGGAAGACACTTCCTTCCTTTAGTGGCAGAAAATGCTGCTAAGCCTCAGGGAAGGAATGCAGTCGAATACAACACAACAGCCTTTGGCTTCTTGGACCTAGACACAGCCTGTCACTCCCACAGGGTCCCTGGAGGGAACGAGAGGAGGGCCCAAGGCAAGACTTATGGAGGGCTACTTAGCACTGACACTGGTCAGCCAGAATGGAAGCCACTCTTTCCAAGGGAGCGCCAGGCCCTCACCTGACATGTGCCACGCATTACCTCAGGAGAGGGCCCTGCTGTGCTGGCAGACCTCTGTGAGGGGCCCTGAAAGGGCTATTTCCAACACTGTGTGAGCATTTCACAACTGCAACCATTTCTGCTTGTACTGATGGAAACTAGCTAAACACTGGCCTTGGAGCGAGGCAGAGGAAATGTGACTATTTTACAAATGAAAAGAACTAGAACTTAGAAGGGGTTAGTCACTTCTCCAGAGTCAAAGTAGCCCACCCGGGGCTGTGACAGGATTGGAACCAATCTTGCTCTAGATGCCACAGCCTTAACTGTTTTTCTTAAACGGTGAGCCTAAAAAGCGGAGATGAGGATAATACAAGCACGTGTGCTGCAGACAGAAGAACAAATGAGCTTTCTAATTCTGCTGCACACTCTGCTCTTCTTATAGTCAGGGACAGTATACAGAAACGGGAACTATCCGACAGGTCAACCAACAAAATTCTGACATAGCTTTAGTATAATAAATCCTCATTATAATTAATCATAATTATTTTTTAAATTAAACTCTGAAAGGTTTTTCAGCGTCTTAGCTCAATGCATTATGCAAAATGTACACCCTTTGATCCAGCATATCTACTTGCAGGAATTCACCTAAGAACGTAAGTGATTAAGGGCATAAAAATTTCTACTCTATTTATTGAAACCTTGAATGCAATATATGGCCCTCAATAAACTCATCCATAAAACGAAATGCTATACAGCCATTAAACTTTTGTACTGCTAAAATCATTGATAGGGGAAGATATTCACAATATAATAATGATACCAGCTCAAGACAAGGTTGACATAAGGGAAGCCATACTGTAGAAAAGAAACCCTATTGTAACTTTAAATGACCTCTGACAAAGTAACCCAGCAGGATATGCACCCTCCAGGAGATCTAATGGCTCTGTAGATTTTACAACTCCTGCTTATGCATGTATTTCCCAGCTGTGATAAGATGATAACTTTGTTCTTTTGAGTTCCTTAGGAATGTGATGACCCCCAAACAGAGAGTCTATGCTGATAGCCATCATCAATGACAACTGAAAGATCTGGTGTGGCAATTTCCAGTCTCTAACACCAGAGGGTCAACATTCCTGACCCCCTCCCCAATAACCCACCAGCCTAGATAACTGCTGTAAGATTTTGTGCCCCCTTAAGATGGTTTTTTCGGACATTAGTCAGCCATCTTCCCTCTTGCTAGCAAGCTGTAATAAAAAGTCCTTTCTCTTCTATTACCTTGCCTCTTGACTATTGGCATGTCTTGAGGTGGGCAGACGAACTCCCCTTCGGGTGGTAACAGTAAGAGTGGGAAAAGTTGACACTACATGATAACACACACAAATTCATTTCTGTAAAAATTTTAAGATAGGTTATCTGCATGGATGCACATAAAGGTTTAGAAGGATATATAGACTAAAATGTTAACAGTATTTCTGTTTGGGTAGTGGATTTTTTTTTAATATTTTTCTGTATTGTCTGAATTTTCTTGCTTTTCCCTTTTTGCATTTAACATATTACTTTTTTTTTTTTCACTTGAGGCAGATTAGCCCTGAGCTAACTCTGTGCCAATCTTTCCCTATTTTGTACGTGGGTCGCCACCACAGCATGGCTGACAAATGGTGTAGGTCCATGCCTGGGATCCAGACCCTCGAACCTGGGCTGCCAAAGTACAGCACACCGAACTTAACCACTACGCCATGGAGCTGGCCCCTCATATTACTTTTTTTCTAATCAGAAAAAAAACACTTTAATTTTGAAAGAAAAGTTCAGAATATATATTTAGGAAAGAATAAATTAATAAAGTTTCCCAAGATTATTCTTTGAAAGGGTAACAATTCTACTATGAAGGGAAAGGCAGTGCACCTACCTGAGAAGCGATGTTGAGTGTGACCGTGTCCAGTCCTCCGGACAGCAAACCCTGAGTATCAGCCAGAGTCAGTGTGACACTGGCATCTCCTCCCACTCCTGATGAAGACATGACCAGGTTCTGAGCAGATATGCCAGATGGAGACATTGGTGTTGTTGAAGGAAGGCTTCCAGTTGTAGTATTAAGTTCTACAAAAAAGGCAAAATAAGTAGATCAATGGAAAAGCTAGATACATCCAATTTTAATGACATGGAAGAGTGGTTTTCATAAAAGAACTAATCTGTCATAATCAGCATTTACATTGCCTAAGATTATGAAACTGCATCAAGGAAACATAGAATCTTTGATTCCAATTTTATGGCAAGGCTTTTGCAGTTTCTAAATATCTTTATACATAAATATTCTCTGCTTCTTAAGTATAAATAGAGGAAAAAACAGTAGAAGAGTAAAAATGTGACCCTACAGTCCCATTCACGGCTGCCAACGCAGAAGGAAACTCAGACAAGAATTTCCAGGCCATTGTCCCCATCCAGGAGCAGAGACCAGCCTGAAGAGAGGAATCAAATGTGATCCACTGAGCAACGAACAGTTCCAAAGCTTACAATGTGACCATCTCTGCTTATGTTCACACTTCCACCACCCTTTATGTCTACTTACTCTGAAATACAGGCAATCAAAATAAACCTCATGCAATCCTGTAAATATTAATTTATCCTGCAGCATGACATCTTAATTTTCTTTGGATAAGACAACAAAACTTTTTAATATTTTCCCCTTGTAGCCAATGATAAGAGAAAGGAAGATATGTGGGACAGAATCAGGCAAAGAAAGGCCTTTTCTTCTACAAAACAGAAACTCATGCACCCTACTGGCAAATGAGATGGGCTTAGCATGGGATTTTCAAAGTCCTGTGGTGGGCACCAACTAAAAACAGGTTTTTAAGTTTTTCCTTGTAAGTATAACACACATGCACATGCAAGTACACAGACACAAAACAAACTCTCACACCCTATCCTTTCACTCATTTAACAAACATGATTTATCATCCACTTGTTTAGCCACTGTGCTGGGTGCTAGAGATACCAAGATGATGATTAAAGCAGAAGGTCAAAACCCTATTTCCTAATTAGGTTTAGAAACAAAACAAAATGAGACTCCCGTAAAGACTTCGCTGCAACTTGGGTCACATCCGTCCAGACCCTCTGCTCTGAGTCAGGGGCCAACGGGAAACCAGGTTACTTACTTGTAACTGGAGTCCTCCACACACAATGCCTCCACAGATCCACACTCTTGGAGTCCCACACTGTGCTGCACAGACCTGGAACCTTCAAAAGCAGTATAACCATTAGGAGGCTAGGAGTCTCTGCTCTGAAGCAGCCGCCGGGGCTCCAAAGACAACTTCACCAGATCCCTCCCACCTGCCTCGCATCTGCACAGAGGGGACTCCTAAAACACGCCAGGACAGGAGGAGGAGTGTGGATTTGTGGAGGGTGTATGCTCTAAGCACTCCAGTTACCAGTACATTGCTCAGCCTCGTATTCATTCTTCTGACGTCACCTCCACACATCCTTACTCTTGCAGACTAGCATGCAGGTATGATTTTAACGTGAGTGGACAGAGATTAAAAAGAAGGATCCTGTAGAACATGGAGATGACCAGCTACGTGAATCTCTGTTCAATCAAAATCACTAAGGAGAAGACTGGGCTGGGCCATCAAAGCACCCAGTTGAGAGCAGCATGTGGGTGTGAGGCTCACCGGGATCATATTTAGAAGGAGCAAAACCAAAAGCTAACGGGGTCCATGACTACTTAGATGGCCAAGACTTCACACCTCACCCGAAATCCAGAAACAAGGAACCAAGGATCTTCTCCTCCTTCCCACCAGTAAAACATTTCTCACTCTCTGATGATTATTAATGGAAAAGGTTCCAGGACTGTGCAGCACAAGAAATCTAAAGAAATCAGAAGCCTGCGTATTCATTTAACTAAAGTGAATCCTGACACAAAGTTCAGTGAAAAGACTAAACAACTTCAGATAATGCCAGAGTTCCTTTTTCAACTCAAACAGCGTGGTGAATGAACCTTTAATAATGTTCTTCATTCAAGATATTTTCCACAAAGAGGATTGATACCAGTTCAAGTAGAACTACCTTCAATACGGTTGAAAAGAACATGTGATTAAAGTAGGAAAAAACTGAAATTTTCTTAAACATGTAATTAAACAACTAATTAAAAGCTATAATTACATTTGCTCGACATATAGCTCTTAATTATATAAAAATATTTGTTTAAAGCTCTAGAAGCCACAAATTTAAAATCAAATTAAATACTCTTAACATGAAAATTAAGATTCAATACTTAAGCAAGATTATAGACTCTTACCTGCAGTTCCCATTTATTTTTTCTGTAACCACTATTCCTCAAGGACATAGCACAGCAATCTAAGTCTTACTTCATTTTATGATTCTAACTCAAAAAGTAATCTTTAAAGGATTAATAAATTCTATATGTTCATCAAATGCAGCACTGTCTTAAATCTTTGTTGGGATAAGTTTTCATAGCTTCCAAGAAAACTTAATAATTTTGGAAGGTTTCATAAGTAATTTAAAAGATGTGAGATCAGTTTTTTCCTGAGATTAACAAAAATGTTAGAGATGGAAGTGGGAGGTGGCAGGAACAGGAAATATGTGTTAGTCTGGCCGTCGATTCCCAAGGTGAAAGTGGGGAGAATGTCCTCAATTTTAAAATGCAACCACAAATAGGAAATGTCAAAATTTCTCAGCTAATGGAAAATAAATAATAGTTTGTACTTAAATCTAGAAGAAACAAAGGCTAAAATAACCTTACAACAAACTAGTAAACAAAGAATTGGTCTTTTCTTTCACTGAAAGCAGAACTCAATTTATTCATCAAAATTATCTTAAAAGTGGGCTAAGGTAAGAACAAAAAGATAATACCAATTTGAGATAAATTCCTTACAAAGCTGTGCTAAATTTAAAGCCTCTATTAATAACACTTTCTGCCTCTGAAAAAATACTTATATCATATTTGACCATTTTCTAGGAAAACTACTTGTGTCAGATTTTGTCATGGATGTTATCAGGATCTGACTTCGAAATGGCCTTCAACTCCCAAATCACACACCTGAACTTTTGTCTTGCATGTGAAATTTTGGCTAATTTATTTGTAAATCCCTAAAAGGTAACACACTTACTCGTTCAATGCCTTCAACTAAAAGGCAAATAGCCAGAGTTGCCCCAGAAGCTGATAAGCCTTAACCAAATCTTGTCGACACAGAGAATTAAAAAATAACAGTAACCACACGCATATTCATTATGCTCGGATATAAAGGACTGGCAACATACATTTGCTGAGGGTTTGTATTTTAGTACTTATCCTACAAGAGACATGTTTAATCTCAAAGTCATTTTAATTTCAACTCTTACTGGTGTTACCTGAAGCTTGGTCTGGGACCGACTGACTCTAAGATAAATATTGTCCATTAAGATGTAATCTCTCGACCAATACTATACAGATGGGATCAGCTACTTAATTATGACTAGTACTAATGGAATATGCAAACCTCTCTAAACATATCTGCTGAATATCAAAGATTGATTGGTTCAACATAGGAAAATCTCTTCCTGTATCCAGGATTATTCAAAGATGCCAAAGGTATTTGAGAATATAATACAACTGACCTGCTCATATAAAATTAATCCTGTATTTATAATAGCCAATATTACATTATTAAACAAATGATCTTTAACTACATCTTTTATTGTACAATATCACCAAATCCCTTGAAAAAAATTTTTTTTAAATAAGGCACCACAGTAAGCTAAGGCAGCATCAAAAAGAGAAATGTTCTCAGTTCTGCCATAAGCTACACTGCGCTGAAAGACCCTTCACCTGCATGTATCTGTGAAGGCAGATTTATAAGATAGAACACTCGATGTCTAACTAACCAGACACACTGGTTTAAAGAAATACTGGTGGCCAAATAGAGCCCTCAGAGTTCATGTGTTCTCATTCCACCACTTTCTCCATTCTAATCAGAACATCCCCAATCTTTAATTAAATAACCTGCTGCACCAGCAAACATCTACAATCACCAAGTAGCACAAAAACCCACTCCGTTTAAATTAAAACATCTAATACACTACTTGTCTTTCCATCGATTTGCCAAGGACTCACTGAAGACGGCAAGCAGAGCTTCCAGGAAGACACAAGATTCCACCACTGGTGGCTGGTTTATTCCTCAGTGAAGCCGGCTAGGGAGAGCTCGAATTCCCAACATTCCAGAACAGAGACCCACACCAGAGCATGACAACCACTCACTCTGGCCCACGTACAAGAAACACATCTTCATGTCACAACACACACCACGCAGAGTGGGAAGGATGACAAACTCACAGCCTATGATCAGAATTCTAGAAATCATAAGCAAGAATACACTGCCTGGTCCTTCAAAAAAGAAAAGACACAAACTATGACTTTCAGAAAGTTAGTAGAAAAAAGTTTGCTACGTAACTTTAATAACACAAGATATGCTTTAGATGTCATACTGATTATAGACTAAATTATAACCTGAAAGTCGCAGCTTGTAGCCAATTAGAATATAAAACAAAATTCTGTTATTGAAAAACAAAACACACAAGAAGCCTCTCTTATTTCCAACTAATAACTAAAGAATTAAGTTCTATGATAGTTTTTTAGAGCCCCAAAATTAATCAAGCAAACTGATAAGGAGGAACAGAGTAAGACCAAAGTAGACACAGTAAGATGCGAGAGCAGAGGTCCAACGGAAACGATCATTGGTCAGAGTTCAGATTCCAGGTCTGCCTAGATCTGCCAACATGTGATTCAGACAAAGTTCTTAATCACTGGGGCAAATGAGAGGGGTGGACAGAAAGTTCCTCTAAGGTCCTGACTGGCCATGTCCTCCTTAGATTTCCAGCCAAATCTCACCCCGTGCCACCTTGCTCAGCTCACAGACTTCTTCAGTTCAGCAAGTCAGCTCAGGGCCAGCAGCACCGAGCCGCTCACTTGGGGTAAATGTCCCACACTCCCAGAGCTCCACTCTCAGCTCAGCCAGCCATCTCCAGGGACGTCGTCCCCCACTGGGTCAAATCCCCTGTGACCTGCTCTCTCAGCCTTGTTCTCTCTCCTTTATATGTCGTTACCACTAATTTTACATTGATCTACAGATTCTTCAATAAATGTCTGCACTCTATTAGTTTCTAGGCTGCAAAAACAAGGGGACAGTTCTGCCTTGCTCAGTATTACATTTCCAGATTTAGCACAATTCCTACCACACAGTATACACTACTATCTTTTATTGAATAAATGAATTACTGGATAAGAAAGCATTTCAATCAAGCATGAAAAAAAGTCTAGCTGTGGGTTCAAATATATCTAAAGACTAATTTTTTTTCCTCAAAAAATGATATACATAGTTGGAATATAAGAGGGCTAAGAAATTAATGAAATCTCTACAAGGCAAAAAAGACTAGCTAGATATGTCATCTTAAACTGTTAACAGTTACCTATGAAGCTGTATTTTACTGGAGTTCACTTAGTTTTATTTTAATTGAGCTTATTTACTTTTATTTTTTATACAAGTCTATACCTCAAAACTTTAGAAAGATGCCTTCTTTTAATTTTGTTAGCCTACTGTCAGCTGGTGCCAGAAAATTCACACCGCAGGGCACAAAGTAATACGCTAGAGAAACTTCCAGCATAAGAAGAAGGGGACAGCTTTGTAATGGAGTCATCAAAATGCTAACCTGCAAAAATACATAATGCCTTGTATATTTGAATAAGATTATTTACTTTTATTCCTTAAAAGGTAGGATTATTAATTGGTTGATAACTTGAGAAAGAATTCTGTATCCCAGAATTACACATAAGCCACTTATCCTCATGGAATTATCTTACACGGGGTAGAACATGCAGTTGATGCATCTGTCATGCTAAAGATGGCTTTCTTCCTTCCAATGACCAGGGGCACAGCCCTTTACCTACGATATCTTATCATGTCTTTTGTGGCTAAATCATGAGCTGCGTACCTGAAGAGTTTAATGTTGCACTCTGTGAGAGAAGTTGATCACTGCTTATTGTTAGGGTGGCACCTGTAGACTGATTATTGATCGCAGGTGCTGACAATCTTATGCTTCCATTTAGTTCACTACTTCCGTTAGAATTGTGCTGAATAAGGTCTTGACCTAAAGGGAAATTAATATTGTGATATCTGAAAGTAACATGGTAATTCACATTCTGGCAAGAGTGTTAAACATATGATAACATCCTATTAAAAATGACAGCTATTTTTAAATAATATTTATAGAAAAAATGAAAATAAGACCATGAAACACATTTCTGCAAATGAGAGTATTTGTTCACACTTTTTTAAGCTGTGAAGTATTTTTAAGTGCTTCTTAAGAGCTCTACTTTAACTCAGTTCTTGGGCACTTAAAATTATAGACTTCACTGAATAAAACTTTAACTGAATTGAAAATATTTCTAAGTGTGGTGGACCACCAGCTGTGGATCAAAGGGACCTCACAAAACGAGACTAGACCTGCCTTAACTGGCCTCCACTGAGGTGGTTCGCTGAAGCGCAGCTTTCCTGGAGGAAGGCTTACTGCATCATGCACTCTGGACGCTTACAATGCGCTCAAACATGTCTGTGATGTATCCCTTCCAAGAGACACTGGATTTTGGGTCTACACCTGCTTATGCCAGTGTCATTAACTACCATAATTATACAAGGTAATCAGATAGTATGGAAATGGATGAATATGAGAATTAAAAAAATTGGTGATGTTTCAGTGAAAAACAAATTGAATGCTTTGGAAAGACTTGACAAAGACAAATTGCTTTTAAAAACTCTGCTGTCAAGTCAGGTGTAACAAGACAATTATATGAAATTGGAGGGAAAAAAGCATCAAAAGACAAAAGGATGCTGCACTCTGCTGTATAATTATTGACTTCCTCATGCCTCTCTAAAGAAACAGAAATAGGAAATGAAGCTATGCACTGTGGGTGTGAATGTGGGCAAAATAAAAAATGCACAACTCTTAGCAGAGCGGACCCATGTCCAAAAGATCTGAGGATGAAGCTCAGGGTATGTAGGTATCATTTTTTTTCTGTTTGACATAGCTTTTTATTAATAACTGGATGGAAAACATCAGGTAAGAGGACTTTCACTGTATATGTATAAGACAACTTGGGGAGGCTGAGGACTATCCTTGCTTTTTACTCATGTTTAATTCTTTTCTCAAACGACTTATGAATTGCTAAAAGTTTGCAAAACTTTACTGAAATAATATTTGCATTCTAGCATTCACAAGCATTTATAATTTTATGCATTAATGGAAAAAAGAACATTCTACAAAATAACTGAAAATTTCTATGGAATATCTTGAGGCTTTCAACAGGTGACCATAAATTAAAAGTTTTTCTACAGCTTTTTCGGAATGGGAGAAGGAAATGCTGACTTAGGAATAACGAGAATGAAGAAAATAAGAAATCTAAAGCCCAAAGTTTGGGCAAACCTTATTTCATCAACTAATTTAAAGATTTCTCCTAAGATAAACCTTTTAATCTAAATTTTTTTTAAAATTACAGTTATATTCATCTACTCTTTCGAATACACTAATAAGCAACAAAATAACTAAATGACAGGAAAACATAGGAGAAACAGAAGCAAAATCCACAAACTAACACATTTTCTGAACTCTAAGCAAGAATCCTGCATTATGTGTTTTTTGTACAGGATTAGCAACGTCTTATATATTGAAGGTACTCAAAAAAAGTTAATTTGATCAACAAAATAGCTTTCTTAAAATAACTCTTCTATATTTCCAACATTAAAATTTAGTTACATATAATGAAAGGAGGAAGGTTATTGAATTATATAAAATTCCAAGTTAATTTTTGCTGCCTAATAGCATCTAAAAATCACTACAAGTCATTCAAAAGCAAAGTTCCCCCTAAGGATAGTTCCTCAAAGTTCTCACATTTCCACCATTATTTCCAGTGTTTTAAGGGAAAATGCAGATGCTTCCACCATCACACTGTATCTCCAGGGAGGTTATTTTGACTTCCAGCAAAATGTTTTTCTCATATTTAACAACAACCTCATGAAGTTGATATGAGGCTTAAATGAATTAATTCTAAATGAATTAATAATATTTGTAAGTTACTAGATATTTGTAAGTTACTAGATATTACAAATAATATTTGTAAGTTATGCTTGGTGCATAATAAGTGTCATAAAAATTGTTTCTAAATGTAAAAATGACTCTCAGTTAACATGAAGAGTTCATAGCTAAGAACCATGTTGGCAAAGCACACCTCTAAAATATGTTCCAAGCTAACTTAGATCAGAACATACATGCTGTGAGAATTTATGATAGATAAGAAGAACCTGATTGTGAATATTATAGCCCTGAAACAGGGAATGTGTTAGCTTGGTGAATGACACGCGGGATTAGTTTGCCAATTTCAAGTGCTGTACACTGCCAAACGGTGTTTTCTACCCTTTTATCTACTTTTCAATGTTCTACCATATTTAACATTTCTCTACAAAATCTGAGTAGAATTCTGAAAAGATCAGGAGAGCAGGTATCTATAATGTCCTAGTGTACACAGTTTATACCAATTGCATTCCTTTAGTTTAATGGAGCATGAGGAAGAATTATGAAGCTATGGTTTTCTGCTCTTTGCTAAAAAAAAATATGTGACAAAAATAACTGACTCAAACTGGAAGTGACATGGGGAACTATCATTTTCAATTTCTGGTGTTATATTTGAATTGTAACATTATTTTCACTAAACGTGAATTTCTCACATAAATTACAAACACTTATTGAGCACTGGCTTTATGCAAAGCTCAGTGTTGCAGGAAAAAAGTACAAATAAGATACACTTAAACTACAGGTGAAAGGATGTTTAAAATTTTAAATGACTAACCAGAGATAGTCAGGGTGATTTCCTGTGGAGACCCCGAGGATGACGCGGTGGTGGGTCCAGCAGCCTGCGCCAAGACCTGGCTCAGACTTGAGTTGTTAATGGTCAGGGTGATCTCGTGGGGGCCACTGGAGGTGGACACCAGGCCTTGAGATGTCATCACCTGAGAGAGGTCTGGAGTCCCTGGTCATCATTACAAAACAAAACAGAGCTGGGCTTAAAAAATAATAATTTTCTCCTTTTTTATATTAAAAATATTTTAGTGAAACTGTTACTTCAAAAAGAGAAAGATTTGAAATAAAATATCAGTCATCTTTAACTCTTTCCTCTAAAAAGATAAGAAAATCTTAGGATGAAATAGGAAACCAACAGGACAAAAGTAATTATATGAATGTAGTGATCTATGTGCCTATATTGAATAAACATCATTTATCACAAGAAAATGTTACTTCACTCTTAGGACATTTGATTTATTTGGTGAGCTTTATAAGGAGAAGGGAATGGCAGCACAGTGTCCTAAAATCAAATATGTGACTGGAAGCAAGAAGCTGAAACGCCAGCTGTGAAAATGGACAAAAGTGAATGGCTCCTACCACTGCTGTTAGTGGTCAACACGGAATCCTGCTCGGACAGCGGGCCTATGGTCAGATTGGCAGATGTCACCGTGGGCTGTAAGGACAGGCCTGAGATGGGCTGGATGACCACACTGGCTGGGACTGTACTGTCCGGTGTCTGAAGAGAGCTGCTTTGTGGGGCGAGGCCAGGCTCCCCTGTCAGCTGCTGAGCAAGCAAGTTGCTCTGCTGTAATGTTTGCTGCAAAATGCTTGGATCAATCTGAAAAGCAACACAGATACTTGTAATGAAAATTTCATGCTTACGTGTGATTTAGACCATGTTTAAGCACAGAAAACCATGGCAGGTGTCATACCTGTAACGTGATATTATTAATGCTGGAGGCATCAATTCCAGAAATTTGAACATTTGGCCCAACCAGGTTAGCAGCCAGCTGTAACTGTATGCCTTCTAGGGTGGCCAAGCTCCCGTCCGTCAAAGACACTGTCCAGTCACCACCAGCTGCAGAGAAAGAGAATGGGAATGAATGGACATCAGACAAGCTTCTTAAATTAAAAAAAACTCATTTAAATGAGTTTTTACATAGAGATTTTTAAACAAGTTTTAATCAATATGATCTAATTAATGAGTACTAATATTTACTTCACACCATACACACACACTGTCTAATTTAATCATCACAAAACAAACTCTGTGAAATAGATAATCATATTATCCATTTCAAGCATAACAGGAAACTAGGCTCAAAGAGATTACGCTGATTAGACCAAGATTTAAAAAAACAACTAATAATTGTGTTTTGTTAGGCTTTAATCTCACCATGGGACACAGAAACAGAAAGAAAGCCACATAAGATGCTAATAGCTATTAACATTTGTTATATTTATTTGTAAGTACACAAAAAATCCAACTGGCTAAAATTCAATACTTCTCAAGCACTATGTAACCCAATAGCAACTATGTAATTCTAATATATTAAAAACAATGCTAATGAGTAGTTATAAATTACACATCTCATTATTAAATTTGTGAGAATGCTAACTGAGAAAGAAACAAGTTTAAACCCAGTAAAAACAAAAGCTAAACACAGTGCTAAAGTATTAAAAAGGAGATGTGATGGAAGAAAGAATGGCAAATGGGAGCATAACTGACTAAAGATGAAATTTCCATTTTTCTGACTGCCATATCCAGGAAATTCAAGGAGGGGCAGTGTTCTGTTGCTGACAGTAACGTTTCTTCACTACCGGCACAGGCAAAAGTGACATCTGTTAGTTTGCTTACTGTGCCATCCCCCATTCACCAGACTCGATATTTACCTGACATAGAGGCTGGAAGGACCGCCTGACCCACTAGTCCTTGCTGAAGTAAATTCTGATCAAACTGTCCTGTTAGAACAGAGTTGTTCATGATAAACACATTAGGATCAGAGGACGGATTGAGGAGGTTGATGGGCTGGAGTCCTTCTGATGAACTTCGGGTCACAGGTTTTCTGGCTTTCTTCGGGTCTGGTTTATAATGAAACTGCATGTGAGTCTTCCTTCGCCCAGATGTACGGAAACGTAACTCACAATGGGGACATTTGAAAGGCTTTGCTCCTGTGTGCAAACGCATGTGGACTTTCAGACTTCCCTTTGTAGAAAAAGCGTTGCTGCAGACGTGACAACTGAAGAGTTTCTGACCTGCAGAAAGGCCAGCCAAGAATCAACAGGAGCCGATGACCGCGTTACATTCACAGGCACCCAGTCAACCAGTCGGCATGGATGCGAACGTGCCGAATCCACGCACTCCAGGGCTTCAAAGAGAATCCCTTTCTCCCACAGGATGTTATGGATGTGAAACAGAGCTGCTATAGAAACTTAAAAGTTAACTAAGTACATTGTTTACAACTTGAATTTAGTATTTTCCCAACACTTTGCTGCTACGGTGTCTCTAACCCACTGCATCATGAACCCGGACAGAAGCTAAGGGGAGGGTGCCTTAACTGCTAAGCCAGGCATCACTGTCACCTCTCTTTGATTTTACAAAGGCCATGTTAATGAATATGTCTCATTACTTCATTTTCTTTTCTGCAAAGGGGGCACCTGAGACGCCAGCACAGGTAGAAAGCACCTTGGAGAATGAGCTCTGGGCTCACAGCACCATGGATCCAGCACCATGTGCCCTGCTCCTGGACACTAGCTCTTCTAATGCATACAGGGTGTAACACTGGCCACGAAGGCAGACCTGAGTGCCCTATCATGAGCATCGACCCTGCTCTGGAGAGTCCCTGAGAGGAGAAAAACGTTGTCCTCGTTTTCTGTTTCCCTCTCCTGCTCTCAGAAACCAATACTGATTCGTACCAGAGATGGGCACCCGGGACTCACCCTAGGACTCGTGAGGCCTGTTATCCTAACACTGCTCGGGGGCCTCAGAAATCACCTGATGATGTCAGAATGGAGAAAGAGGCCCTGACAGATATCTTTCACAGAGACTTTTCTTTCTACCCCTTAAGCATGGGAGCTGACCCTGAATCCCAGTGTGCACGCGTCGTCATGGACATGGCCAGCACCTGCCATGTGCGAGCTGGCGCACTAGACCTGAGGACACAAAGACAGGTGAGCTGGTCCCTCCTAATCCTCAGAGTTCACAGCGCTACACAAGAGGGACAAACACACAGAACCTAGTGAAACAACGGAAACACTGTCCAGAGAAAAGGCATATTGAATGAGTTCATTATCTGTTTATTTAATTCCAAATATTAACCATGAGAAAAGAATCATAAATGTGTGAAATTCCATTTATACTCTTTTGGTTAATTCCACTTATAATCAAAAATTAAGAATATAAATTAGTCTGATAATCATAATCTTATGAATCACGACAACAACTCTAACATTCCCTGAGAGTTACTGCGTGCCGCTTTCCTAAGCCCATTTTCCACATGAGGACCCAGAGGCTCAGAGAAGTGGCTTACAGGAGGAGCACAGAGTTCAAACCACGCAGTGGGGCAGAGCCTGCCCTCTTGACCACTGGGATACACAGTACAGAATCAGGAAGCAAAGGCTTAATATATTTTAATTAGGACAATTAACCTTCAGTTCCTCAAATTAGATGAAGAAAAGAAAATGGCCATGGAAATCGTATATTAATTTTTTTCCTATATAAGATTTCCCCCCCACATAAAAGGAATTTACTACCTGATAACTGTAATCAGATTTGCTAAGCCCCCAGTTCTTACAAAACCTCAGCAAACTGAATCTCTCTGGCTTGAATAAGACTGAGAGGTAATCTTTTTAACAAAGGTATTTAAGTCTCAGTAAGAATACAAGGTGACATAACTTGACATTTGAGATCTAGCTCCTTCTCCTTAGTGTTACAGAGACCATTTTCCCCATGTCAGGGACCAAAAGTCTTTTATATCCATTTCTTCATGGTTCCTGATTTTTAAGCTTTCTATAATTTTGAAAGTATTTATGTGTACAAAATATATAGGAGCAAACAAAAATAAAAGGCTATGGTAAGGCATCTACCAATAATGCAGGTTTTCATTCTCACCTGTGTGAGTCTTCACATGGCAATCTAAAGTAGATTTAACAGTAAAACTCTTCCCACATTCATCACATTTATATGGCTTTTCTCCAGTATGGATTCGAACATGCCTAAACAGAAAGCATTTGCAATTAAGTGTTTTTCTTTTTAATTTTAGATACATTTATAAAAACGTTCATGATTTTAAATTTATAACTATCCATATAAATAAAAATGATGTGTTACTATGTACTGAATAAATTTGACCAAATAAAACTTTAAGACTCACTCTATACAAAGAAAACACCATAAATAAATCCAAAAGACAACAAAAAATCTGCAAGACCAATGAAAACAGGGCTAACTTTCTTAAAAACCAAAGAGCTCTTACAAATCAGCAATAAGGCAAGAAATATCACAGTAGAAAAACGGGCAGTGCATGGGCAGCTTAGAGAAGAAATGCACACAGCCAAATGCCATATGAAAAGGAATTCACCCATACTTAGAATTTAAAAAGATCAAACTAAAATGACCAGACATCATCTTCCCCATCAGTCTGATGAGGGCCCGCTGTTGGCTGGGTGGTCTGGGAACAGGCTGCAGAGGCTGACAGACGTCAATGGCACTGCCGGTCTGGAGGCCAGTGGGTGGTGTCTGTCAGCACTGACCCCTGACACTCACCCAGATGCACACAGGAGCACACCACTGTGGTGTAGTCTAGTAACCAAACACTGAAAACTGAATGTTCATAGAGGAGTCTGGTGAAATGAATTCTGGTACGCCCATGCAGCAGGACACCGTGTCGCCATTTAAAAGAATGAAATAGGTTTGCCGGTGCTGACAAAGAAAGATGTTTAAGACTCAATGATATGTAAAAACTAAACAAAAAACAAAATTTCAGAATTTAATGTAGATATGTATGTGGACATTTCTGAAAAATGTCCATAAGGAACTGCCAATAGTGGTGATCTCTGGGGAGCAAGACTATTTGTCACTTGACAGCCTCCTGTGCTGTTTTTGTTTTGTTTTGCTTCACCATGATTTTTGCCCAGTTTATAACAGCAGAGGCTGGGCCCTGAACGATTTTTAAATGAAGGCCAGAACAAGAAGATAAATCAGCTGTTAGGCTGCACCACACTCCTTCATTTTAGGTATAGCTGCTGCCTCTCTTTTTCATTTCGTGATGCCGACGTCATTAGTACACACTGACGACATTAAGCCTTCTCCATCTCCTGTCCTTATCGGCTGCTCCTCAGCACCACCCACAGGACCACAGCCTTGTAGGCATCTAAACTGGCGTGTGGATCCCCATGGGGCTGTCTCAACACCTCCACACCGGCACCCTTGCCCGGCACGCGTTCTCATCTATGATTCCCACGTCTGCCTCCCACCACTGACCCTGACTCTCCCAATCGGCCAGCTCATCAGCTCCTCTTGGCCACATATGGCCACTTGCCAGGCTGGACCCCACTTACAAAGCATCCGAGCTCTTTCCTCAGAACTCCCTGAACCTCTCCTCAGTTTAACCCTCTACTGTCTTATTCCCCACGTCACATCACACCGCTGACCTCTGAGACTCCTCCACCTGGCCTGCCGAGAGTGCTGGGGACACATTCAGGCCCAAGCAATCCAGCTCCATCTGGGCTTTCTCTAATCCCCCCTCATCCACCTCACCACCACTCTCTCACTGACGCCCTTCCCCTTCCCACTGGGGTAGAAATAGAAGGCCTGCAGTCACCTTCCATGGTCACTAGATGAGCACTTCCAACTTACAGCTACTCAACAACCAGCCACTCTCTTCTCCATTGCCTTCCACCTCACGTGGAGTGTTATGTGGAGTAAAGAGGAACTGCTTGGTTTCCGGAAGCAGCCTGCTCTATTATTACCCATCTGAACATCCTAACAGTTCTTCCTTTTAAGTCGCCCTATACCTGTCATTCATTAGTTCCATCTCCTAAAGCAAAGAATAAGTGTCCCCTTATTGTATATAGCAACCCTTCAGCTATATTAAGAGAATGTTATACTTCGGTCTTCTTTTCCCCAGTCTGAACGTTCCTAGAGCCCTTCTATCATTTGCCATGTGTCTTGGTTTCTATCTTCACCATTCTGTCGACTGGATCTCATGTCAATCACTGCTAATCGGCTGACCTGCCCTCATCCCATGCTGCCTCGAGACCTCTCCCCTTACTCTCTAACTTGGTACATGCTTGTGCCCTCGTTCCTCACGCAGACCAGCAGTCCCACTGCTGTTCTACATCCCTATAAAGCCTGGCACCATGTCTTTCTCAATGAATAATTAATCTTCAATTTTTTTCACTACTACCACAATTATACAGAAATAAGCAGAAGCAATCTACAGAGAAAAAACAAATTTCTACTTAACATTCTGAATGAGCTTAAAAGGAAGCCTCAAAATTTATACCGGTTTAAAAGCACAACTCAAGAAAGTAATCAGCTACATGTGGCCATATGTGGCCAGTGGCACCAGGTTCAGAAACTGACCTGGCCTTCTCCAGGAAAAGTGATCCAAGGAACACACAGAGCACATTTCCCAATCCTCAGAACAGTGTTGGGCCCGGATCTTACCTTACTAAATCACTGGGCTTTTTAAAGCTCTTGGGGCAGTAAGAACAGCAGTTGGCGTACTTGGGCTCGGCCTCGAGCTCTGCCTGCCTGTCTTTCATCTCGCTGATGCGGTCCTTCTCTGCGGCCGACTGCACGAGGACCTGCTCGGAGACAGTGGCGCTTTCCTGAGGCCGAATTTTGGCTAATTGTGCTGTCTCCTCCTCTGTGAAAGTGATGACCTCGGGACGAGCCTTTCTAGATGCATTTCTTTCAGAATTGTCTTCCTCTTCCTCCATACACATATCTAAACAAAATATAGGAAAAAGGATCAAATCCTAATAAAAAATTAAGTTTTAACAGAACAAGTAAACTAAAACTAAACAAGTGTGTAAGGTTAAGATTAATAACTCGCTGAAGCTACATTTGAGATGGTAAAGAGTTTTTTCCCCACCACAATTCTATTGAGAAAGGAAGCAGGATCCCCAGAAAGAAAACAGCACAGCGAAGGGTGTGCTGTAGGGAAGCAAATACTGACACCAGAAATGCTATGATTAAAGACTGCCTTCCACCCTTTGCTGTCAACCCAGCAGTGGGCTTTGAAACTGTCAGTGTCCACACAAGCCACCAATATTCATAAATATAGATATTCGTTTATTAATATGGGCAAAAAATGAATTATCATCAGATAAAGAAAATCAACAGCCCAAAAGAGGAAACCAAATCGACAAATTAGCAAATAGCCCCCAATTAAAAAGACTAAATGAAAGACAAAAATTTTTTAAATATATATGTTTAGATATTCTCTCACTGAAATATAAAGATATATTTACATTGAATAAAAACAAGAATAAGCTGCTATTTAAATGTCACAGAGAAAGAAAAAACATTTGGGGCCAGCCGCGTGGCTTAGGGGTTAAGTGCGCGCGCTCTGCTGCTGGCAGCCTGGGTTCGGATCCCGGGTGCGCACCGACGCACCGCTTCTCCGGCCATGCTGAGGCCGCGTCCCACATACAGCAACTAGAAGGATGTGCAGCTATGACATACAACTATCTACTGGGGCTTTGGGGGGATAAATAAATAAATAAATAAAATTGAAAAAAAAAAAAAAGAAAAAACATTTGGCTGGGAGTAGGTCACTATTGCACAAATGACTAAAAAAATTAAAAAAAAACCTCAACAGAAACATAAAATAGCAAAATGAACAGTGGCTAAAACTAAAATAGGGAATTAAAAAACCAGATGATTCTCTTAGAATAAAGGGGGAAAAAGATGAGTGAGGTGTGAGAGAGAGGGAAAAGAGGAAAGCGAGGGCTGGGAGGGAGGTGAGAGAAGGTGAACCACGGAGGATACGGCCATTTAGTAGGACTTCAAAGAACAAGAACATACAATGATCTAAAATTCCACATTACGTCAGTAAAATCTGGAAAAATTTGAGGGCAGCATGTTATAGATCGTGGTCCCACCAAAGATGATAAAGAAACATGGAGTTACTTATGTTAATTTTAAAGTAGTCAAGAATACAATCAATACAGCAAAAGTCATTGAAAGAAGAAAAAGCAGTAAAATGTGGCACAATAAGTAGAAGATGTAAAATAAGGTGGCAGTGTTAGGCCAAACAGGTTTACTGTCACAATAAATGTGAAGGAATTAAATCTCTATTACAAGACTCTAGATTTGGGTAAAAGGAAATGTGACTTTTCATTTATGGACAAAGGAGTTCTTTTCCTTTGATGACCCAAAATAGGAAAACAAAAATTTATGAAGGTGTATCTAAATATATACATAGCAGTGCGGCAAAGCTGCAATAGAAGCCCCCAAATCAATCCTAACAGCACTGATTTAATGGTATTAGATGCTCTACTAATTGATGGGAAGGAATATGTAATTAGACTGAGATTATTTGTATTAGCTGATTAGTTTACACTTTCCAAACTATCGAGTTCTAGAAATAGTACTTGGATGCCCTATATTTTTTAATTCATTGTAAGGAAAACAGTTATTTTCTTTTTATACTTTACTAAATCATGACAATAAAAAAAATGGAAATAAAGGCTTTACTAGTTACTATGAGATTGAAAAATGTGAGCTATTTCACTAGGTATAACAGGTCAGAAACGTCAATAATCTGAATGATCTACTGAAGAAATGAGAGGAACAGCTGCCCTGCAGCGGAGAAGTCAGAGTTTTCGTTATCTTAAGGTAGGTTAGGCACACTTTAAACACTAATTCCCCAAAATGTAAGAGAAAGCTACACTGCTATCATTTCAGCACAGCACATTGGGGACAATTGTGACCTTGAGGTAAGGTGAACACAAAGCAGATGGGGGAACAGCAATTAGGGAGAGAAGCCAATGAATCGTTGTCACATCTGACCACTGTGAAGACATCAACCTCACGATCACACCCATCTTGTCACACTTACTCCACAGATCCTGAGCACCAACGGTGTGCACAGTGCTGGTCACAGCACAGGCAGCAGTCCAGGCCCCACAACACACACATTCAAACTAGCATAACCAACGCTGTGTACTGAATAACGTCAGTGAAAAAAATTAAAATGCTGTGTCCTGGCACCATGTGTCAAAATATACAACGTGCACATTCTTAACACTAATTTCACTTGCGGAATTTGCTACAAAGAAATCATCTGATAAGTACAAAAAGTATAAGCACAAGATAATACTCTTGGGATTACTATATTTACTTGGTATAAGACTTGGGAAAATCAGCTTATCTAATGTTTAGTTAGCTATATAGTGTTTCATGTCAATTAAATAAGATAATGTAGGTGGTAAGCACAGTTTTTCAAGGGTTAAATTACTACATAAATGCTAGCTATTCCTACTGCAGTGAAAGACTGGATAATAGCTACATGTCCATCAACAGGAAATTATGTAATAAAGTATAATGGAATTCCATGTAGTCATTTGAGTTGATGTAGATATTATGTCTACAATAAACATTGGTGGAGGGAAAATTAAGTGGACTGCAACACGATATATAGCATGACTTCCTACTTGTTAAGAAATTAAGATCTCTACCCATACATACGTACACTCAAGGAAGGAAGCCTGCATTGTTACAGTAGGTGCTGATTTTCTGCTGTGTGGTGATTACTGAGATTATAAGTTTTCCTCGTGTCCCTCTGAATTTTTTTTCAAAGAGCACGTATTGCTTTCATAATTAGAAAATAAAATTAACTTTAAAGGTGATTTGTACATTAACTTATCGCAAAGTTAGCATCTGGTTAATAAACCTGGAATCAACAAACAAAGAATACCTCCTCCTTCTGCCTCTCCAGTTGCCGATACAGCAGAGGGGACTGTCTGGTGCCTCTTCATGTGCTTTTTACAGTGAACTGTGGTTCGGAAGCCCTGCTCACAAAACGGACATTTGTAAGGCTTCATGCTCATGTGTGTGGCCATGTGCCTGGTGAGGCTGCCGTTGGTTGTGAACGAAGCATTGCAGACGCTGCAGCTGAACGCCTTTACTCCTATGACAGAAAAACAAGGTAGAAAACTGAATTTCATTACCTTAAAATCGTAAGTAGCCATCAGCAAACAAAGATATGTTCGATAGGCCAAAAATTAAAGACCACTTATTTGCTGTGGTCTCCTATTTTTAGGAGCTAAATTATTTTAAGATGGAAACTGACCTAGTGTGTCTGACTACACTCGCTAGTGAAATTAAAGCCTCCAGGAACGTTTCTCTAAACAAATGTCAAGTTCTCTCCGCCTGCAGCCTTTTACATTTAAAATGGCAACATGTTTGTGGATTCTACCTCGGAAATGTTTCTTCAAATCCATCTTTTTTCATCATTCCCACAGTAAATGACTTAGATTAGGCCCTAAGGAATAGCCTACAACATCTCTATACAGCTTTATTTTCAAATAAAGTCTGATCAGAAGACCTCTGTCCTCTGGACTAATGACATAAAAGCAAGCCTGGAAGGGTCCCCATCTTTTCTTCACAGAGTGGCTACCTTGACTTTTCAAACCACAAAGCTGACCAGCCACTGGTCCTTGTTAAGGTCGTACTGGCTTCCCTCTGCTAGAGGTAATGCTGTCTCCTTCGTAGGACCTTCAAAGCACCACATAACCTGCTCTCAGCCCATCTGCCCAGCACCCATTAAAACCACTCCCCAACCACCAACTTAAGGACTACTCCATAAAACCTTTGCTTGTTTTGTTTATATGTTTTTAAGCTGTACACCTTTATTTTCAAATAAAGCCTTATACAGAATATATGTTGATATTAAACAGAAATATTAATATATTAAATAAATATATTCAATGTATTAAACATAAGTAATATATGTAAAATATATTTAACTGCAAATCCTGTATCTGATAAAGAACATATTAAAAAAACTCTTTTACAACTCAATAATAAGAATACAAATAATCTAATTTAAAAATGACATAGGATTAGAATAGACATTTCTCAATAAGCACATGAAAAGATGCTCCACATTATTAGCCACTGGAGAAATGCAAATCAAACCCACGATTAGATACCACTTCACACTCATAAGGATGGTCATAACACAAAAGACAGACAACAAGTGTTGAGAAGAATGTGAAATTGGAACGCTCGCACATTGCTGGTGGACAAGTAAAATGGTGCAGCCACTTTGGAAAACAGTTTGGTAAACTCAAAGGTTTAAACAGTTATCATATGACCAAGCAATTCCACTCCTAAATAGAGAAATGAAAACATACATCTGCACAAAAACTTACAGACAAATGTTCACAGCTGGATTATTCCTAATAGCCAAAAAATGGAAACAACTCAAATGTCTAACAACTGATGAATGGATAAATCAAATGTGGTCCATCCACACAGTGGAATATTACTCAGCTAGAAAAATGAATGGAGTACTGATACATGCTACAATGTGGATGAACCGTGAACAAATGCTAAGTGGAAGAAGCCAGTGACACAGACCATATGTTGTATGATCCCATTTATATGAAATATGGAGAACAGGCAAATCCATAGAGACAGAAAGTAGATCAGTGGTTGCCTGGGGCTGAGGGCATTGAGGGGACAGGGGGAACGACTGCTAATGGCTACAGAGTTTCTTTTGGATGTGATGAAAATATTCTAGAATTAGAAGTGGTGATGGCTGCACAACTCCATGAACATACTGAAAACCACATAATCTCCAGTGCAAGGCAGACAATGACCTGTGTGCGTCTTCTCGTGGGACTTGAGGACCCCGGAGGAAACGAAGCCACGCCCACAGAGCTTGCACTTGTAGGGCTTCTCCCCAGTGTGGGATCGCACGTGCTGCTTCAAGTGGCTGGACTTCTTAAAGCCTTTGTTGCAGTAGTCACATCTGTAAACACAACACAAAGAGCACAGACCATGTTAATTCACAGCGTAACTACAAACATAACATCTGAGAATGGAAGAAAAGCTGACAATCTTCACCATCATTAAACAATCAGGCATAATTGTTATAGAAACTAGGTGTGCTCTCCAACATTTAAAAAATTATAAAATATTAGCAATAATACTTTGTTAGATCAAATTCTGCTCAGAGTATTTGTAGTCTTAAACGTATTTTATTATTTCAAAATTAGTAAATCCGACAGTAATTTCCCAGCAGGCATGATATTTGATTAATTAGAAACTTTCTTTAAACATGACAGGAAGAAAATTTAAGACATGCTATTTTCTTTACTAAATCATAAGACTCTGGGAAACTGTCCATTGCTTCAGGGTCAGAATCACTCCTGGACCTGGACACTTGGAAATGCTAACTCTCATATACTCTTTTGGTTTATAAAATACTTTACAAAACATATTTCACTGGAGCTATTTTGAATAATATATAAATATGCAGTATTACTGTCCCCTCAGTTATTACAGAATATATTAAAATTACTTTAAGGATGAAAATAATTATAAATGTCAAAATTCCTATTCACATATTATTAAAAACTAAAAAGAGAAGATTTAGAAAGCTTAATCCATTATATTTCCCTATTTTTTCCATTTCCAAGCTTTAATTTGTGGTAGGAAGCTAGTGACGTTCCAAACCATAGTCTAAGACCAAGTACCTATATAGATGTGACTAACATTCCTCTAAGGTCCAAACTAAACTAAAGGCTGACTAAATGTAAACACACTGAGAAATCTCACTCTAATATGCAAGTGTGGTTTAGTGAGGTTATCTATTAAAAATAAAAAAGCAAGCAAACAGCATTCATCAGCTGATTTTTGAAAGAATTCTGCAAATGAAATCAGGATTGATTCTGGTCTACAAGTCAGTAGAAGAAAATGATCTATTTCTAAAACCAAGTACCACCAAACCATTTGATATTTACTGAGAAACGTTCTGTAATAAGGAGTCAACTTCTCAAAAGAGTCACATCTATTAACTAAAACCAACCACCACCAACAGAACATATTGGTAGTACTGTGGAGAAACAACCATCCTTCACAGACTGGTCTGAAAGCCAGACCTTCACCACCTGGCCCCAGCCAACCTTCTGGCCTCGCCTGCAGCCACTCTCCCACCTCAAGGACCATGCTCTGTCCACATGGAGACGGGACCCTTCGCTGCCTGTCAAACACCACTTCCTCTCTCTCCATGGACTACACCTGCCTGCTCTGCCAACCACATTTCTTCCTCCAAAGTGTCCAATAACAACCTAAATTACAGGAGCTAACACTTAGGGCAAGCTCCTATAGACAACCATCATGCCAGGGAGTATGCACAGCATTTCAGTTACTCCTCATCACAACTCTGGGAGGCGTATTCCTCAGAAGAGATTAGGTGATGTGTTGAGTTCTCAGTGACAGTATCCACAGAAACACCTCATCTGAACTGAGACTTTGTCCAGGAATCACATCTCCAGGGAACTTTGCTACCCTCTACTTTTGTCATACTTATGGGACAAAAGATAATAAAATTATAGGCTCTAGGTTCCATGTTTCTTAATGTCCTAGGGGAGGATCCTTGACCTCCTTGAGGTTCCAATGAAAGCTACATATCCTCTCCTCAGAAAACCATACAAGCACACAAACCTCTCCCTTGTGGTTAACCTCTCCCTTGTGGTTAGTCCATCCTCACCTTGCTCGCCCTAAGTGGAGGGTCCACGGGTGCAATCTTTGAGCCTCTTCTCTTTTTTATGGGCAAGTACCCCCATGGCTTTAAATATTAGTCTACATACTGATAACTTCCAAATGTGTACTTCCAGCCTGGACCTCTCTCCTTAATTCCAATCTGGTATAAGGAGCTACCTACATGACATTTCCCCTCGAATATCAATCCTAATGACCAAAATCAAGTCTTGGTCTTGATACCAAAACCTGCCCCGCCCAGGCTCTTCCCTTTCCCAGGGATAGTAATTTCATTCTTCTAGTTGCTCAGGTCAAAATCCTAGTAGTCATCCTTAACTCTTCTCTTTCTCTCACACCTTTATCTGTAATAAATCCTGTAGGTTCTACCTTCTAAATAGACCCAGAGGTTAAGACCACTCCCTATGACGGCAACAACTCTCTCTTCAGTCAGCTCCACACGGCACTTAGCGCTCCCTTCCTGCTTTATCCTTCTCCAGGCCCCACAGCAACACATGATCTACTGTGTAGTTTACTTACTTATTTTGCTTATTATCTCTTTCCACTAGAATGTAAACTCCATGAGGACTGAGGGTTTGTTTTCTGTTTTGCTCACTAATATAGCCCTAGTGCTTGGCACATAGCAGGTTCTTAATAAATGCTGAATGATGAATGAATGATGCAAGACTAGAAGTGCAGAAAGGCCCAAGCATATGTCACAAAGGAATCATGAGAAAACACTAGATTAATCTCACTTAAAAATACCAATGCAAAATCCCAAATTAAACACTAGCAAAAAATTACTTGTTGAATAAACGGAAGTGTGAATAAAATACCAGGAGAGTCACAGAAATCCTGAAGCCCATCTATGCATATCCCCTAAAAATCCATGGACCCCCCAAATTAAGAACCACTGCTCTAATATATTTTTGATTTTGAAAATTCATGAAGATCTCAGGATAATATACTTCTGAAGGTATAGAATTTAATATATAAGAATACTGGTTCATGGTACTTAAGATCTTGTGTGAGAAACAAATCCTACGAAAATGAAACAAAGGAGTTACTTGGCCTCCCAAAAATTATGTGCTTAATAATATTAGCAAAACTTATCCATTTCAAAAATCTTAATTAAGACCATTCATTTGAGGTAAGGTAGCTCTTCATTTTTTAAGAGTGACTATCAAGTAATGAGGCACATCTTTTTGTTAAATAGCGCTGGAAAAAATTATTAGAATTTAAAAAGTATTTTAAGCAAATAATAAAATTATTAAAATATTATAAAGCCAAGACTATTTCTATTAAAAAAATACTCACTTTACTTTTTTTATTATATATACACTCATATTTAATTGTATAAGAATATATTTTATTCACTGTAAAGGTCTATGTCCCAGTATGAGCCAGGGCAGGGGTCTCTATTTTTCTCACCAGTGTATTCTAAGCATCCAGAACAGCACATGGCACTGAAGGTGCTTAGCACATACTGCTGAGTGAATGCACAGATGAAGTGTGAAGTGATGAATTAATTTAAAAAGCTGTCTTTGCAATCATGTTGTACTCTGGCACATACGAAGAGCCTTGGACAAAAAGGTGCACTATAAATTTATTTCTGAAAACATAACAATGGCTTATGGTGGGGACAGAAAGCTAGAGCAGAGTCGTTTAAATGTACAGGCCAAGGACGGGCTGCTGCATCCAAATCTCAGCCTGTCACTTATTAGCTGTAGAATTTCAGCAAGTTCCTCTCTTTTGTCTCAGATATTTTATTTATAAAATGGGCATGATAACGGAACCCAGTTCATAGAGTTTTTGATAAAGTTGAATTGCAAAGCCCTTGGAGTGGTGAAGGCACACGCTTGGCATGCCATGGTGATGAGTCGGCAGTAAGGGAAGCGTCTGTGCCGCTGTCTACCTGTAAGAGCGCCGGCTCTGGTCCTCGCTGTCCTCTAGGAACTGGGGACGTTGAGTCTGCAGCTCCAGCTCCTCTTGGGATGACTCTTGAATCAAACGAGTTGTCTAAAATTTAAGAGAAGTATCAAGCAGACTACTTGAATATCTACAAATAAATACAAACAACTCAAGAACAACTAACAACTAAGGGTAAGAACATTCATAAATGCAGATTTAAAAGGAGAAACCCCAAGCAGGTAACTGCAATCATTTGGACCAGATTAATAATAAAAATCATTTATACCAATTTTATTAAATAAAAAATTTTCTATTAACTGGCTTTAATAAAGTTCGATCGAGCATGAAACTGATCTTTCCACATTTTTTATATATCTTAGTAAGAGATTACTCCTTCATGTGCTCTACTCTTACCAAAATCGAATAAAAGCCTACTTTCTGAAAATATTGAGTCTCTTTGCTTGTAACAAAACCACAGGGGGAGAAAGAGAGCCTGTCCTCCACCCCCAGGAGAAGCAGCATGACTCCGGAGTGCAGTCCATTAACCCCAGACCTTCCTGACACCAATGTTGAGACCCAGGCTCCCACAGCAAGAACCAAGCAAAGATCTGGTCATTGACTTCCGACCCCTCCAGAAAACACCCGTGCTCAACGGACAGAGGGTAAGCTGACCTTTAGGATGTATGAAATGGGCATAGGACAGACCACCAACAGTGGAGAACCTGCCTGTGTGCAGCCACATGTTCGCCCGATTGCCATGACCAAACCAGATAAGCCCTATTCCACTAAAGTGAACTGCTGTGCAGTTTTATTCAGAGGGCTCTCGAGTGAAGGGTAAGCTACTAAGTGGCGTGTTCTCCACTACCAAGATTCAGCATCTGCTGCCAATTATGTAGTTTCTGATCCATGAAAAAAATGCTATGAAATGTTCTCTGGAGGGTCCAGGCCGACCACTTGGCAAAGCTACCAACAGTGGCTTTTAAAGAGAGAAAACAATTGATTGGCCAATCATTTTCATCACTATTAAAAAATTTCCAAAAATGTAAAAATCAAAACCAAAACAAAAACTTAAATGTCCCTAACTTGACTAAGAGATAAAAATTCTAAATGATGCATTTAAACATTTATTTTTCATATGTCAGCATTCATTATATTTTTGTTCTAACACATTTCTTTTAAGATTCCAAATAAAAATGTTTAGGTTTTGTCACTGACGCAACATAATATCCTTCATATATTATTACACAACACTCTAGTGACTTTCCTGAATTTAAACCAAAAAGGTAAAGCCACATCATGGTAATGAAATCCTTAAGTAAAATGAAAGTGTTTTAAGGGAAAAGAAGGCCCTATTTGCTGAACATTTAAGTTTTCACAGGTGAAAGTTACAAGTTACAAGAAGTTAGCATGCCCTCTTAAGTAAGCAAATTTTAAATAATCACAGTGAATAAAACAGAATCTGCTAAATAATGACACATATCTCTTCTGTAAATACTCACTACATTAATCGTGTCAGAGCTAGGAACCTGAAGTAAGTTCTGCTGGTGGAAACTCGTGGAGAGGGCCTGAGATTCTAGTGTACTGGAATCTTGTAACTGCTGGACAGGTGGAAACTGAGTCTGCTGATTGTACGTATCAGTCACTGTAAAACCTGAAATAAATTAGGAAATATGAGTTCTAGAAACAGTATTAAAGTTACACACAAAAAGGCAAAAACAAGTTGGTTTTATAAATAAAGATGTTTAAAGAAACATTTCTACTTTGTAAAGTAGAATCGGGATCAGTTTTTATCAGCAGGCTCTAAAATTATTTGCTAACAGGCAGGAGCCTGCACTGAGCACATATCCTTACAGTGCAGGCTTACAGACTAGCCACAAACACTCAGTTACCCCTAGGTCCCAATTTCTACTCAATTGTCTTTTCTCGGCTAGAAACCAAGTGTAGAATGGTTGTTAAACTCGCTTTCCAGAAAATATGAGCAGACCACAAAATAGCACATACACACACACACACACATACACAAAATCCATGCAAAAAGTTATTTGGTTTGAAACCATAAATTTCAGAAGGGCCTTAAAAAAAACACCTAAGGTTGTTGTAAAATTAAACCCAACCCAGGTACAGCTCATTGTAAAATCCTACGTAAGACCCACCACTGACCCTGGGATAAGCCAGCCGGCTCGAAGGATTGCTGCGGAGGAGCCTGCTCTTCAAACTGGTCCATGGGCCCTTGCAGAGCGTGCTGCGGAGCCACAAACCTATCTGAAGATAAGAATACAAAAAGAAGGGGGCGAAATTCATAACTGTGGAAGTTATTTCAGATCTCCCAATCTGTCCAAAAGGACACTTTAGTGAGTTTTCAAAAATCAGCCTCCTTATTTTGAAACGACAGTAGGAAGCAATTTATATATATATGAGATATGGTTAAGGCATTATTCTCGTACTTCCAGAATATCACTTCACAGTTTATCCTAAAACTTAGACATTCTTCTAAAATGTAACATTCTAAATGCAATTACATTTAACAACTATTTAAAACTTTTTGGATATGCATTGTTCCAGGCAACACAGAGGATAAAAAGTACAAAATCCTGCTTACAGACTAAATACATTTTTGGGACATCCATAAAACAGAACAGTAAACTGGTCAGCAAATTGTTAGCAGGCCTGCACGAGACAAGAAGCCTGTGCCAGACGTAAGTCAACTACAGTAGTCCCCTTTTATCCGTGGTTTCACTTTCTACAGTTTCAGTCACCCTCAGTCAACCATGGTCTGAAAATATTAAGTGGAAAATTTCAGAAATAAACAATTCATAAGTTTTAAATAGTGTGCCATTCTGAGCAGCACGATGAAATCTCGTGCTGTCCTGTTCCATCTTGCCCGGAGACGTGGGTCCCTTTCTCCGGTGGAACCACATTGTCTACGCTACCTGCCCATTAGTCACTTAGGTGCAATCTCAGTTATCAGATCGACTGTTGCAGTATCGCAGTGCTTATATTCAAGTAACCATTATTTTACTTAATAATAGCCCCGAAGTGCAAGAGTAGTGATGCTGGCAATTCCGATATGCCAAAGAGAACCCGTCAAGTGCTTCCTTTAAGTGAAAAGGTGAAAGTTCTCAACTTGATAAGGAAAGAAAAAAAATCACATGCTGAGGTTGCTAAGATCTATGGTAACTTTTATTACAGTTTATTGTTAAAATTGTTCTATTTTATTGTTAGTTGTTGTTAATCTCTTACTGTGCCTAATTTATAAATTAAACTTTATCATAGGTATGTATGTGTAAGAAAAAACATAGTATATATAGGGTTTGGTATTATCTGCGGTTTTAGTCATCCACTGGGGGTCTTGGAATATATCTCCTGAGGATAAGGGGTGACTACTGTATGTGAGACAGTATGTCACTGTGCTCACTGTCTGCAGTTGGGCTGACATCTTTTTTTGGCAAGACTCTATTGATGAAGGAAAAAGTGTGTTGATCAGGAGCCTAATCTCGTTGCAGGCTGGTAACAAACAGTTTGCAGACCTGCACTAGTCTATGCATCAGACTTAAAGTACTGTAATAGAATACTAAAGATCATATAGAAGTATATAAATGTATACTCACTGAAAACGAAAGATATTCTCAATATATTAAGGAGTAAAAGTAGGTTACAAAAAAGTATGCATTGAAAGATCCTATGTCTATAATTCTATATGCATACCAAACTCTCTCTCTCACACACATAAATACATAGCACAACTCAGGATTTAAAATGTCAGAGATGAGATACCAACATGGACTGGAGTGAGCATGAAGAGCTGCAAAACTGTATGGATAATTCCAAAAGTTAAAACTCCTGAAATATTTACCTTCATCTGCTTCCAAAGGTTGATCTGTCAACTGCTGACCAAGTCCTGTTTCTTCTGCGCCTACCACATGCTGTGGCTCCAGGTCTAGCATGGCTTCGGGGTTTGCTGCGACCGCCTCAGCAGTCTGCTGCAGCTCATCGCTCTCAATCTCCACTTGCATCTGAGTGGAGACGTGGATGCTCTGCTGGTCCACGGTGCTGTCATCTATTGAGGCGGCTTGTTGATGCTGTTGGAGCTGCTGGGCAAGTTCATATCTTCAAAAAATCAATGATAACTCATAAAGTTAGATGCCGTCAATAATTACTCGCATGGAATACAACTGTGCAAGTTGTAGTTTATTAAATTATTAGTAAATAATTAATAAATTATTAAATAACATTTTTATTTTAAATTATCTCATTTTGAAGTCATGATGGCAATTCAGTTGAAAATTAAATACTATTAATAATTCTGAAGAAAGGTCACATTGCCTTATCTTCAGTGCTTTCACAGATTAGTGGCACACGAAGGCAGCAAAGGGAGGGTAAAGAACAACACAGACTGGAATCTTTTAAAAGTTTAAAAAAATTAAAAAGATGCTACACATTTCAAAGTAAAACTCTCCCAACTTAAATTCTGCAATGAGTTAAAGTATTCAGAAAAAGAATTGTACAAAATGAGACAGTGCCTGTACACACTGATTTCAGTATTATAAACAAATGTGGTGTACGGGGGTGGTGGGCAAAGTCCTAGAACCTGCTGTCTCTCACAGCCGGGGCTGTAGAGGTTTTATCTGACCAAAGAGCCACTGTGTTACAGAACTGGGAGGCATATGACCACTCTGATTTTCTGCAAGATCATTATTCACATTAATACCGCTTTTATGTATACAAAATATATCCACTATATTTTCAGCAGGTCAACAATTTCTCTTTCAAAGAGAAAAACAAGGAATTCAGTGAATGAATCAAAGAACTTAAAAAAACAGCTCAAACAATTATCTGATTAATAGGCCATATAATATCTAAGATATGAATGACCTATTCCTCTTTCTAAGATACTATGGTCAGATCCATACAAGCTCCACCATGTTTGATTCCAGAACCTTATCAATCTGTCAACTCAGAATTCCATTCTTAGTTCCAAACAAAATTTTTCTTCTTCATTTTCTGATATCAAAAATAGTTACTTCTCAACTACTTTTACTGAAGAAGGGGGAACAAAAATGCAATAAAAATAGGAAAGAATTAGAACATACATTGTCACACCTTTACCCTAATGGTGACTGTACAGCAACGTCATGGGGTTCACATACGTCTTCTCCACTAAGCCCCTAAAGGGGAGAAAATGTCTCTTGCATGGTAACTGGTGGAGGCTTGTTTTCCGTTTGTTTGCTTGGGTTTTATTTTCACAACTTTTACTACAGTAACCTTTTACACCTATTTTGAATGTAAGTATGGTATTTTAGGAATTTCTAACACTTCAAACAAAGGGATGAAACACTGGAGCTACTCTGTTCGCAGGCAGGTTCAAAGTCCTCACTGTCTATGAGAAAGAAACACCCAGCTCTGCCATATGACAACCCTGCCAGTCTTTAGATTGTCACCTCAGTCAAACAGTCATCTCCTAACGCAACTGTGGCACGTGTCCCTCAGTGTAACCTATAACAAAGCAGTGGCCAATGCAACACTTCATCTAAAAACAGCTGACCTACTTCCCAGAAATTATACCACTGGCCATTGAGTCCATAAACAGGGCCTTGAACCTGTACTCCCAACACTACCACACAAAGTACACTGCAAAGGCCTGGCTTCTTGACAGAGACAAATATTATTTACCAGGCTGCTGAGCAAGGTTGTACCCAAGCTCTATTCCTCGAAGCGTGGCACAGTGCTCAGGCATCCTGCTACAGCGTGTAGGAACACAGCATCCTCAACATCTACACACCCACAAATGCTCCAGTTCCCGAATGCACATGAAGCATATCATTTCCTCCACAAAATGCAGTAAAGTATAGCTGGATATATAATTGGAAGAGTCCCCCACGTTGACACCACCATATTCCCTAGATGGTCTCGAGAAGCAGTTAAACTTCTCAGCTAACTAATCAACTGTACAAAATCAAGGAAGTCACTCTGTCAAGTGTGCTCAGGCATCCAGATGGATAATACCAAAACAACTGTTTCTCATAGTTAATGTATTCTAACATTTGGAGTTTTGTTTTGTAGGTAATATCTGGGCAGAGACATCGGGGTTAAAATACTGTCCAAAGTAAATGTTGTAGGACACAAGGTTCAAAATTCTCTTATGGTAGGCCTAGTAACTCTGATTTTCAAAATATCCTAGGATGTGGTCCCTTTATCCAGGTTTCCCATTACAATACAGAATTCTGCGGCTTCACAGAAATACCCACTGAATAAGCTCCATGTAGTCAGAATGCATCTCTGCAGGGCTCTCTGGATAACCTCCATTTAGAGATGAGAGAGTCTTCTAATCAACTAAAAATCTAAGTTAGCTTTAATGGTGGATTTTCGTGATGGCTAAAACACATGTTCTTTTTAAGTCAACAACATAGAATAATTACCATTCAGATACCTAATGACATGCCTAGAAATCACCGGGTTGACTAAGAATTTCTTTTTTTGAAATCTTCACTACCTAATTATACTAGGCATAGTCTATTTAGCATTTCATCTATTATCAACTATCAGTTTCAAAAGAGAGCTTACAAAGCACTTAGCCCAATATAGACTACTTCAATATTATATTAAAAATAATGTTAATACTTTAGTCTTTGGTTCTCATTAGATCCTTAGATACTAATACAGAAGTTTATGTAGCCCATACACCTCAAGCTACAAGTAATTATACAGGAATCAAAGACAATTATTTCTTAAAAACACTCTCCACCACCATCTGGGAATTATAAAGATTATTAAAAAGTGACCATCAGAATAATACCTACCTATGGGTTTTCATGTGCTTTTTGCAATTTAGTGAGGTCTTAAATGTTTTCTGGCAATAGGGACACATATAGGGACGAAGGTCATTGTGAATACCCATATGTCGCCGTAAGCTACCACCAGTAGTGAAAGCTCCGTTACATATCAGACACTTGAAAGACTTGAGTCCAGTGTGCGTTCGGACGTGTGCTTTGAGCACTCCTGCAGAAACAAAGCCTCTTCCACACTGAGAACACTTAAAAGGCTTTTCACCTGTATGTGATCTAAAAAGAATAAACATTTTAATGAATGAGTAAGCTTCTTACACTTTTATAACGCTTTGTAATTTAGAACGCACTCTCGTACATTATTTCACTTGATGGTCCCTGTTTTAAGCTAAGCAGCCAAGACGCAGCTGTCCGCTTTCTACCAATGAGAACACCTGAGACTCGGGGTGCTCAAGTGACCGCCTCAAGTCACAGAGCTAGTCTACAATTGTGAATGAACTGGACCCCACATCTTCTTCTGAGTTCGTTGCTTTTTAAATGACATCTCACTGTCTCTTGTGATCAAGTTTCTATTTTCTTTCCATTGGTGCTAGCACCAAGAATTAATCTAAACTCTGATGAATACACCTGAAAAACTGTTAAAGAACATAATTCCACTTAAAAAAACCAAGTACTTAGGCCAGCCCCGTGGCTTAGCGGTTAAGTGCGCATGCTCTGATGCTGGCGGCCCGGGGTTCGGATCCCAGGCGTGCACCGACGCACCGCTTCTCTGGCCGTGCTGAGGCCGTGTCCCACATACAGCAACTAGAAGGACGTGCAGCTATGACATACAACTATCTACTGGGGCTTTGGGGGAAAAATAAATA